TAGTCGATTTTTATATTTTGTGATTTGAGTGAGAAAAGGTGTCTCTCAATCACATACTGATAATCTACCAGTATACATAAAATTTTAAGCTCTATCCGAATTTGAACGTTTTACATTTCGGAAACGCGTATTGTCAGAGATATACGCGTTTCAAGAAAAACTTAATTAAGACAAAAACTCGCTTTTCGACTTAATTACCAAATTCTAAGTTCTGATTTTAGTTTCATTAGACAGAGGACGTAAAATTACATATATTTTACCCGGCTTTCTCTTCGGGAACATGGTGCAGTCATTTCAGATTCAGCTAGAGATTGATCTCAAAATAAGTACATGAAGAGCAAATTTCTTGATGTCTTTTAGCTCTTTCTTTCAATGCTGTTTACTTACTCTAAAGTTATCATTCAGCTTATTCCATTTTTCGTATCTTTTATATATACACTCTAAAAAAAGTCGTAGATTAATAAACTATCAAAAAGGGTTTATTGAGATCAATACACCTTTTAAAAAACGCTTTTCCGTTTTTTATATCCAAAAAACTAAAAAGCGTTCATGACAGATGCAAAATGTAAAACGGGCGGTTCTTTATCAAAAATAAAAACTTTTCAGGTTTTTGTAGAGTCTAAAAAGCTAGCTAAAAAACTGAAGATTTTTTTAGCTGATATTTTAGACTCGAGACTCGACAAAAAACGGAAAAGAGTTTTTTATTTTTGATAAAGAACCGCCCGTTTTTCATTTTGCATCTATCATGAACGCTTTTTAGTTTTTTGGATATAAAAAACGGAAAAGCGTTTTTTAAAAGGTGTATTGGTCTCAATAAACCCTTTTTGATAGTTTATTAATCTACGACGATTTTTTAGAGTGTACGCGTGTCTTCACAGGAAAACAAAACTGTATTTTTTCTCGTCTCACATGTTTTGTCGAACGTATCACATATAGGTCGATACTTGTTTTATGCTTCCTTGAGATTCAGTCCCGATTCGTCGACAAATTAATAAAAAATAATTGAAATTCCCGACTCGTCGACAAATTCATATATATGCAATAAAACATAATTCCTAGCTGTAAGTATTTATTTCTAATCAAGAGCAGAAATTAATCAACCAGCTTTATATTTAATGATATTTATAAAACGATGCATTTTTAAAACAGTGCGAGATGTATAAATACGTTTAGTTTTCTGAATCTGATTACAACAGAAAATTATTGAGTATTTTTCGTAACTTACTCAACTTTTTAAAAATAATGTATTCAATTGGCGAAACAGAGAGAGGTAAGACTTGTTTGTTATTTTTAGGATATCGGTACGTAAAAGACCGAATGCGAAATGAAAACACGTACTGGCTTTGTGAAAATCGTTCAACCTGCAATGGTCGTGCTGTTCAAAGAAGATCCGAAGCCCCAGTTGTTTCAACACCGCATAACCATGAACTGAATGTAGAGCCAAATGAGCGAGAGGAATTTCGCACAAATTTGAAACGACGTATCCGGGAAGAACCAGTATCGGTCAGGAAATTGTTTCGTTCGGAACTAGTGAAGATTCAAACAACAAGTCCAGATAATGTGTCTACATTACCACAATTCGATACAATTAAGAATTCTTTATATCGGACAAGAAATGAAAAATATCCACCATTACCGAAATCCATTGACGATGTAAAACTCGAGGGTAAGACAGCTGATGATCTTAAAAACTTTGACTAAATTAATGTTTAAATTGTAGGTTCATGGCGATTAACACTTAACAATGAAGATTTTTTAGTAATCGATAATAGTAGTCCTCGTTATTTATGTTTTGGAACGACCGATTCATTAAAATTATTATGTGATTCTGAACATATATTTATGGATGGTACATTCAAATCTTGTCCAGCACCATTTGCACAGGTATATTCCATTCACGCATTATCGCCGATTTTGAAAGGTACAATTCCAGCACTTTATACACTATTACCAGATAAAAACAAAAGCAGGTACTTATCTTTATTCAACGAGGTTAGAAATGTAACAGTTAGAAATAATCTTTTATTGGATCCAAAATTTATAGCATTTGACTTCGAGCGTGGAGCAACAAATGCACTGAAACTTGTACTTCCCAATTCAATTATAAAAGGATGTAATTTTCATTTTAATCAGTGTTTGTCCAAAAAATTGCAGGAACTAGGTTTTCAGAAAGCGTTTTATGAGGCTCAGAATAATGATCTAACAACCGTAAAATCTTTGTATCAGCGTGTTGCTGCTCTAGCGTTTATACCTTTAGATAAAATCGACGAATTATGATGCAACATAATGGATGATTACTCGGATATACCGAACATCGTATCATTCTTTGATTACATCACGGAAACATGGATAGCGAAGCAATGTTTGAGAAACAATTTTGGAACTATTATAATTTCGATGGCGCAAGAACAACTACCTCGGTCGAAGGATGGTACCATCGTCTTAATTCTCAGGTAGCAGTTACTAATCCAAACCTTTATTTTTTTGTTAAGGAATTACACAACAAACGACAGCGCCACGAAAGAAAATATATGTGAATAGAAATACCTGTATCCTTGATTTACTGAGTCGTTATAACAGTGATACATTAGCCTTAGATGATTATTTAATTAAAATTAGTAAAACTATTGGAAAGAAGAACAAGAACCGCGACGTCGACAATAACAATTTGGTGTGAATAATGGATAGTGTGTGTATATATTTCTAATTTAAATTGTGTACATTTTCATTTTTAATTCAATAAATAAGTATTTTTCTTTAACCTTATTCTGCTGATTAGAAATACATACTCGTCGACGAGTCGGGACAATTAAAAAGTTGTCGGCGAATCGGGACGATTCCTTCCTTGAACACCAAACGAAAATTTTTCTTATATAATAAACATTTTTGTCTCATTCAAGTAACACGCAGATATGTGCGATCTGCATGGGCCGTATGAGTGGAAACTTCGAAAAAAATAAACTTGAATTGGATCTTTTTTCCATTATTAGGTTATATAATGGTAACATTGGAGATTAAGGAAAAAACGTTTTTCAACTGCCAGTCTCTTTGTTCTCTTAAACCTCAGCTTTTTCTTTAACATAGGTAAGTTACTATCCATTCTAAAAAAGCAAGTCCGGTCATTATTTTTTGAATAACTCGAAGGGAACACAAGATCAAGACTTGCGTTTTTCATCATTCGATGGCCAAGACTTGAAGCTATCGTTCCATAAGCAAAAACGGAATTCAGAAAAATTTCCGAAGCCGGTTTTCCAGAGGATCGTTGGAAAACCAGTTCGGTTCTGAAAACTGACATATAAACCTATGAGTTTTCTTCATAGATATATAGGCTGAAGTGTCCTCTACAAAACTTGATCCAAGCGACATCTTGAAAATCCATGGTTCGGAAGCTATAGACGTTTTTCCTGAAGCCTTAGCACTCCTTTGCAGTTAGGTTTGGGACTGTCAAAAATGAATGAAAACATAGGTTATCGACTATGCTGAATCTCGTGGCAATGTTAGTTTTCAGAACAAAATGCAATAACCGAGTGAAAACCTACTGAATGTCCTATAAGTCACTGAACGACTTTGATTACGAATAACTTTTGATAGGAGCAAGATAGAGACCTGCGCTTTCCGCCATTCGAAAGACGAGAGTTGGAGGCATGTTTTCATAACCAACGTTATTTTCAGAAGAGTTTTCTAAAACAGGTTTTCTACGAGATCTTTGGAAAACTAGGCCGTCTGTAAAGATTTTCCAATAGGATTGTATTGCTTTTTTCTCATGAGCTGATAGCTCGGGGTGCCATCTCTAAAATGGGAGTAAAGTGAGTAAAGTGAGACCTTGATTTTCCACGGTTCGGGCGGTATATCGGATTTCCGACGAGTCCCAGAACTGGCACCCGGTGACTATTGGTAGCCTGAAAGACTGATGGACTATGGGTAATCGTCAATGCTGAGTTTTGTGGAATTATTTATTTTTAGAAATAGTTCTAAAAATCTACCCAAAATCCAGTTTTACGAAAATTAGGGTTTTCAGCTTCTTTTCACCTAATTTTAAAAAATTCATTATTCACTCACAAAACCTCAGAACGAGTTCAAAATTTCAGAATGTAGGATATTAACACACAGGATATAGCAACATTAATCATATTCAAGCTCATATTTTGAGTTTGTTCTGAGGTTTTGTGAGTGAATAGTGAATTTTTTAATATTAGGCATTTTTATTTTATTTTATTTTATTTTATCTCTTTCTCGAACAGAAAAAGAAAAATTTAACTTATTCCGGAATGTGTTCTCCTTTTCTCTTATTCTTTCAAACGCATACATATGTTTTGTCTCTTGTGCTTTATATATATAGTGTGAATCTCTGTTAGCTGTACAGTCTGTCAATTCTTTTCACTTGATAATGATAGCAGTAGCTGTCGAAATATCGTGTGGAAGGAAATAAACTTGGTCATAGGAATATGATCTTTACAGTGGTATTATACTTTATTAAACTTCTTAATCTAACCACTTCTACTCAATCATTTCTATATATAAGCATATTTATACGTAGTACCAGCTGTAACATTGTTTACATTAATATACAGGTTCATTTGAGCATCAAATGCGATTCCGCTTGGCGAACCAGTAAATGTTAGTGGAATTAATGTTCCTGAACCCGATACTTGAGTAAATTGATATACGCCCGATGTTTGACTGATATAAAAGTTTCCACAACCATCTACAAATAACGCATTCGCACCGCTGTTCGATGGGAGAGTTCCTATTGTTGAACCGGTCCCGCCGCCTGGGGGGTATTTTTGTATTCGATTATTATTGGTATCAAGTACATAAATATTACTCTGTTGATCAAGTTTAACATCTATTGGTCCGTCTAGATCGTTTGGTCCGGTTCCCGAAGTGCCATTCTGTGAGCCAATAATTGTTACTCCGACACTGGAATTTGCCCACAATTGAATACGATGGTATGCGTGGTCAGTTACATATATTGCGCCGAAACAATCGACAAAAATACCATATAAGGTCATCCAATGAGTACGTCCGTACGGACCGTGACTGCAAAAAGTGGCCAAATCGGGTGACGGTTGATAGGTCTGGTGCTGAAATCAAGAAGAATTAAATAAACATGAAAGTTCATAATTACTTTTGACAGTTTCAATCATTTTTTGCAATTTTAGTTGAATATTCCATTATTTTTCGTGAGAAACTTTGCCAGTTTATGGGTAGAAATTCTGCATCATCCACCATACAGTTAATAATCTTGAGTAATTGTGCTGTGAAACATATGCCTGCTGTAGTCGTATAGCACTGAGCTGTATAACTTCAGAAGAAGCTGCAGCGACTTTATGCTATATGAAAAGTTTGTGGTCATCGGGTCTTTTATCTGCGTAGACATTATACATGCAAGAGCCACAACGACATCTGTTTCCGTAACGAAAAAATGGAATTCTTCTAATTCTAATGTCTTCGCTGCTGGATTACAAAGCTAAACTTTCAGTCTGTTTGTAAAAACTCATAAAAAGTTTCTGGAACGGAACTAATGTGTATCACGGATAGACAGTACATAATCACGTGAAAAATGCATTGTTTTTGTTATTCTTTCACTGTGAAAAACTTATCTTGATGTACAAGAAAATTTTTAGAGTATGAACGTTCTTGTGGGCAATCTGACAAGAAAACTAGGGTGCTTAAAAACTATTGCATTCGTATACGGACATACTTAGTAGAAGATTCTATGCCGCACCAGGAGAAGCTAGTCCACCTGTTCCACCCGCTACTAATGTCCCACCTGGATACTTTTTCACTGAGGTAGCGTATGCTACATAAACATTTGAGTAGTGATCGACAGTAGTACCCCAAGCACCTTGTAAACTGGATGCTATTGCAGTATATGGAACAGCAACATTAAGGAGTTGACCGTTTGGAACGGCCATGTGAACAGTATATGCGCTCCCGCTTAGCAGATCTACAGTCACATCTCTAAGAGTACTTGAGCCACTGCCAATCAACGTCCCGGCCGAATTCCATGTGCCAGTGGGACAAATAGTTGGTAACACTACAAAGTTAGACGATGTATAGTCAGAATGGAAGTTATTCTCTCAATAGATGAACTATAGGTGTACTAGTTATTTTCCGAGCTTTAGTGAGAAAGAGCTTCCGCCTTCCAACTGGATCGTTCAAGACTTATTTTACATACGTGCAGTTGTAGCTCACAATCTTATCTGTAAAATGCCATTTAAAAAGTTTACATCCTCTTCCAGTAAAGCGTAAGTGTGTCAGAATTTTTCATGCTAGGATGATATATTGTTTTCAAATGTCTTCTGTGCAGGAAACTGTTAATTATTAACGCAAATCATTCAAGGCAATAGTAACTGATGAATTGAGCGTCGAAGAATCGACATATAAAATGAAACATCCTATGATTTAATAGTGTTATAAAAATATTGTTTTTCTCTATTTTTTCTTTTTAGCAGAAAACGGTGTAGTAGTATACGCGATTGACGACGTTCTCTCTCTTTCTCTCAGTTAGAAATTGGGTGTTCTATCCAAAAAGCCTCATGATTCAGAAGAGTGGCTTACTGGCGTTTCAGTGGTATAGTTAACGCTATTAAAAAAATGACTATTTCTGACATTGTCTCCTAGTCATGCAAATTATCAGCATACAGAAGTTAGAAAGAAACATCCAGAAGAAGATATCCAGAAGTATATCTTCAAAAAATCTTTCATCCGCGAAGTTGCTCTTCCTCTTTTAAAAGATTGGTCTAATTCAAAGTGAAAATTTTTCGAATTTCACGCTCGCTCAGTCGTAGTTGATAAAGCGCAAACGTGTATAACTGGGAGGTTAAAAGTCAACGAGTGTAACTGGCATGACTTGCGGAAAATCTCATTGAATAGATATATTGCTTGAAAACAATGTTTAGAAGCATTTTTACGATTAAGGGGCCATCAATGAAATGTAGTAATCAGTGCAGTAGCTAATTTAAATTGCATTTTATTAAAACTATTTAGTTTGACGTTTTGACAATATATTTGTCATTATCAAGAATAAACGTGTCAACAGAGATATAAAGATATAAACATAAGAATAGAGTTGGACTTATGACTTCTTACCCATGCGCTAATATATGTACTAGACTATATTACACTACAGCTAGATACCGAAAAATAGAAATAAACGTATTAAACGCACTCAATCCCCTTGTAAAACTTCAAAAAAATGTCACGCTCTTACCTGGGCAGGATTGGGTTGTGGTCTCTAGAAAATAGGCAAATACATCATACGCTGTGATACGCAAATGTAACTTCCACACTTACGAGTAGATGACATCGGAATACTTGTCGATGCTAAAAATGAAAAATCCTTTCAACTATACGCCTAATGTCCACAAACAAATCGTCTTAAAACCACTATATACGTTCCAGAAAATCTATACGAAACAAAGAACTAACCACCTAAACCCGTCAAAGCACAAGGCATACGGCAGCGTAGATATCTCTCAAAGAACGGCAGCTTCCACAAATTTTTGGCACAAAAAACTTTGGTACAATAACTATGTAAAAATGTGCTCGAATAACCACTTGGAACCTATTCCAATCCGAAAAGAAGGGATTCTGTCGTTCCTCAGACGTCACCACCGATAGTTTAACTTCTGAAACATTGCCAGCTCGCCATTCACAAGAAACTCGAGTTTCGATAATAGCGCGGCGCAAAGCGACCAATTCCTTTCATTTATCAAGATGAACTCACGTATTTCTGTGCTGGTGGAAACAGTTGAACTGATTGCTAAATATAAAGAGCATTTATTGAGATATTCATACTTTCATTTATATTCAGTTGCTTCTCTGTGAACAATACTAATATCCTCACCAGTAGTTGGTTGTGGAGTTGTCGATGCTAAAATGAGAAGAGTGTGGAGAAATTTCTCTGATGTTATGAGGGTTTACATACATGATGTTGTGCTGGTGGACTGAAATGTGGATGTAGCTAAAATAGCAAAGAATAATAAATTCTTTTATTCTCATGAGTTGTGAATCTTTGAGCTGTCAGGAGTTTCGCGAACAAGCCATCTACACTCTTCACTTCACATGATTAGTTCATAGGAGTAATACACAAACTAGTTGAAATTGCAGATTAATCTATATTAATGCTTTTATAAATTGATTCAAAACCATTTATTCTCGTGATTGAATTTGCATGAATTTATCTTGAAAGTTGTCTGTGACTCAATTAATACATAAGGTGCCGCTAATTCAAAGTTTGAGTGGAATTTATTTTCGAACATATTATACAGCGTTGGATAGAGGACTTCAAGGCAATCAAAAATATATGTACCGCGATTGTTATGACGCTTTTTTCCGGTTGAAAAACTCAAAATACTGAAAGTGTTTCAAAAATCGAGAAATCCTTCGCCACAGAAAACCTCGAAATTTTCCCCGTTTTATTTACATTTTTCTTTCGAAGTTATATTTTCCTGATTCGTATCTAAAACTGAACAAAGAAGTAATCTTAAAACATTTTTAGAACCAAATGTCGATTCAGAAAAAATGGAATTTTGCAAACCTATCACAGGCTTTTCTAGACGTGCTACAGCCAATATTTTCACGTAGTTGGATTCGCTACATGTCCGGCTTTATAACAGCAAAGAGCTTTATTTAAAATTCCTTTTGGTTGCTGAGAAAAATCATTTTTTCTAAATCAGCGGCGGAAAAGTCGGAATTCTCCCAGTAATTCCCAATTTTCTCGATCAGAACTCAACTTCTGAACTATAAAAATACCACATTCAGAATCAGTATCAAAAACTGAGTCGATTGATGTGTATTTCTTACCTATCCGACTACTTTTATGTTTTTCGAATTTCCACACGTGTTGAAAAATTACGGAGATTATCACCCACAACTGAAAATCAACTAGAAATTTGGAAATACACATCAATCGACTCAGTTTTTATCCTGATTCCGAATATGAAATTTTTTTCTGCATTTGTTTGGTAATTGAAGTTCATTAGAATGAATTTGCAGTCTCGAATTGATTTATGTAAACTTAGTAAAAAAATTGATTGAAACGGGTTCAATCGTCTTGTGAATGATAAATTCACCCCGGTGTTTATCACGTTCCATGCTTGCTGAGATCTAATCCGTAACACAATTTTTTTCGAAGATCACGCAAAAATGTTGATCTTGACGAAATATAATCGCTTATGTTATGGAATTCAGTTCCATTTGTGTTTCAAGAATGTGAGGGAATCGCGTCAATATTATAGGAATATCGGGTCTAATTCGCGACAAGATCTTGATGAGGTTTATCCTTTGCCCACAGTTGAGGAAAATTTTTCATTATTAGATCATTCTGTTTCTTAAACTATCAAAGTACAAAATCAATACTTGCACGAAGCTAGGATCACACTGACTTTTGCTCTATCTTGGCCTGTATGGATGTAATGTTTTTTTATTTCGTCCATCCGTCGACAGAGTAGCAAAACAGACTGACAATGTATGTATATGGTGTTTATCCTTTGTTTTCTTTTAACGTACATAATAGATATACAATACAAATCAATTAGTCATGTCTTCACGCTTGCAGTTCAGCAAGTGTTTTTCTCTCAGTGTTTGTTTTGCTGTAGTTAACCGAACTAGTCTAACTATTTGACTATTGTCATCAGTAACTACATCGCAATTTTTAGGTTCAAATAAGTTTAAAATGTTGCTTTCTTAGTCAGGATAAAGTAATCAGTTATCAGAAATTCATTAAAGCATTAATCGAAATAAAGGTTCACTTGGACTCATTCGAGGGTGAAAATTGTATTAAATGTATTGTATACATAGTAATTGAAGGTCATTTGGTAGTAAAAATTACTTTAAATGAATTCCTATCTCTTTTTTTTAACAAGAACTGTGTGCACTATTTGGCCATTAGAATAAATTTGTAGTCTCAAACGCATTTATGTAAACTTAGTAGAAAGAATGATTAAAGCGGGTTCAGTCCTCTTGTGAATGACAAATTACATCCCCGATCTATGCTAAAGTAAACTGTATCCGCATCAAAATTAAGAACAAAAAGTCATGCGTGTTTATAAAAGAGTAACAATTCTAAAAGACACTCAAGTTTAGTGAGCTAGTGCTGCGGAAGGCGATCAATTCGTTTCATTTATCAAAATGAACTTACGTGTTTCTGTGCTGGTGGAAACAGTTGAACTGATTGCTAAATATAAAGAGCATTTATTGAGATATTCATACTTTCATTTATATTCAGTTGCTTCTCTGTGAACAATACTAATATCCTCACCAGTAGTTGGTTGTGGAGTTGTCGATGCTAAAATGAGAAGAGTGTGGAGAAATTTCTCTGATGTTATGAGGGTTTACATACATGATGTTGTGCTGGTGGACTGAAATGTGGATGTAGCTAAAATAGCAAAGAATAATAAATTCTTTTATTCTCATGAGTTGTGAATCTTTGAGCTGTCTGAAGTTTGACGGAAACTCGCTCGTGATTTCTGTTCGATATGCACTTTCATTCGAAAGCACCTTGAAATACATTGAAAGCAATTTTTCTAATTAGTTTACATTTGGTAAGAGTGCAGAAATTGCGCAATGAATATTTTTAATACCTAATATTTTCTTTGCATCGGTTCATTATCGTCAATGCAGTTAACAACAATAGATATTATTGGACTCACCTAGCTTAACCGACGTAAATGGAAATTCTAAGGGGTTGACGGGCGTTAAATTTTATATAACAAAAGTAAACGAAATAGTTCGCGTCTGTCGAAAAGTCGTTAATATGTTGAAACGAATTAAAATGGATAGCTTTATGCGTTGGCGTAGCGAGAAAACGCGTTGTAGTCTCATATTAAATTATTTTTGAGCATTTGTTGTGTTAAAATTAAATTAACCCGATGTCTGGATAATTCTGTCTTTTAACGCCTGATAAACTCATTGCTCTTCAACGCGTTAAAACTCTTTTAAAGTAATTTAATTCAACATGTTAAAATATTTCTTAATTCATCTATGCACATTCAAAGGTCTTGAAAAGTTTTAAGGTGTTGCAAAGTTTTAGTTTGTTCAAATGCATTTGAAGAGATAATATTTCTAGGCGTTCGAATGTAATAAGCGTTTTTAATACGTTTTAACGTATTTAAACTTCTGAATTCATGTACATGAAAGAAAACTTAATAAGCCATTACTTAATTAGACTGCCAGTGTTTTTGAAATTCCTTCTCTTCCTCAAAGTCGATCGAGATCATTCTTATATCAAAAGATTCGCCTTTCAATTCTCTACGAAATGGTATATAACTGGTCAGGCTAGGT